TCTTTGAGGGGTGTTCCCCTTCCCCCCTCCTCCCCTCTGTCGCCTCTGCTGCTGCTGTCGACCTTCTTGGTGCTGAGAAGGTCGGGACCGCGTCTGCTTCGAGCGGGCGCCGCAGGAACAAGGGGGGCAGGGGTGGGGGTGGCGGCGGAGGAGGTGGGGGTGGAGGCGGTGGGAGTGGAGGCGCGGCTGGGGAGACTAGTGGCGGCAGTGGGGGAGGAGACAGCAGCGGTGGGAGTGGTGGTGGAGGCGGCAGCGGAGGCGGAGGTGGTCGTGGCGGCGGCAGGGGTGGAGGTGGCCGGGGCGGCGGCGGTGGGGGTGGTGGTCGTGGAGGCACTGGCGGAGGGCAGAGTCAGCAGCCCGCCCCGACGCTTCAGGCCGCCCGTGAGTGGTATGCGCAGCGTAGCGTTACCTGCACGTACGTCATTCGCACAGGTGACCGCAGCGGCCAGCAGTGTGGGAGGCCGCACCCTACGCAGCGCTGCTTCGCGCGCCTTAACGACGCGTGGCGCACTCAGTTTCCTGCTGCCACTGAGCTGCCGCGCTGGGCTGATCTGGAAAAGAGGGGTGTTGATATTTGGGCTTTAGACTTTGATGCTATTCTCACTGCCATGTATGCGATGTCTATTAGTGGAGAGGGTGCTCAGTACTTGCGTGTTCCGCCCGACCCGGGCATTCAGGCCAGTCCGGCTGCCGCTCTAGGTGCTAGTGCGTCTGCTCCCACAGGTCCTGGTGAGGCTGCAGCCCTAGGTGCTCGTGCGTCCGTGCCCCCTGGTACTGAGTCGACTGCAGCACTGCACACCTTCACCCTGGACTCAGGTGCTTCTCGCTCTTTCTTTCGTGACCGCACTGTCCTTGAGCCACTCGCTCGGCCAGTTGCTGTCTCCCTTGCTGACCCCTCTGGGGGTCCGGTCATTGCGACCTCCTCCACTGTCCTTCCTTGTCCGGCGGTCCCGTCCGGCACGCTGTCAGGTCTCTACCTCCCCTCGTTCTCTACGAACTTGGTGGCAGGTAGTGCGCTCCAGGACGGGGGTGTTCACCAGTTCACCCCTGCCTACGAGCGCGTGACACACTGCACGTGTGCTCGGACGGGTCGCCACCTGGCTACCTTCACTCGGGAGCCGGGGTCGGACCTTTACACACTGACCACTGAGTCCCCTCAGGTAGCTGCGTCCGCGTCTGCGTCAGCGTCAGGTCAGCTGTCCGCCCCCTGCTCGTGTCGCTCTCTGGCGCATGAGACTGTCCTTTGGCACCACCGCCTTGGTCACCCGTCTGTGCAGCGCCTTCGGGCCATGCACAAACGGGACCTTGTTGCTGGTCTTCCCAGGGTGCTCCCTCCCCTTCCAGCCTCGCCTGCTCCTCCCTGTCTTCCCTGTGTCGAGGGGCGGCAGCGCGCCGCTCCTCACTCCTCCTCCTTTCCCCCGACGACTGCTCCTTTGCAGACGCTCCACATGGACGTGTGGGGCCCAGCCCGCGTCCGTGGCCAGGGTCAGGAGAGGTACTTCCTGATTGTTGTTGACGACTTCTCGCGCTACACCACGGTCTTCCCCTTGCGCACCAAGGGTGACGTCCCTGATGTCTTGATCCCTTGGATCCGCAGATCTCGTCTCCAGCTCAGTGAGCGTTTCCACTCCGACTTCCCTGTCCTGCGTCTGCACTCTGACAGAGGTGGAGAGTTTTCCTCTGGCCTCTTGGAGGCCTTCTGTCAGCAGGAGGGCATTGAGCAGTCGTTCACGCTTCCGGCCTCTCCACAGCAGAATGGGGTTGCTAAGCGCCGCATTGGCTTGGTCATGGAGGTCGCTCGTACCTCCTTGGTTCATGCGGCTGCCCCCCACTTTCTGTGGCCGTTTGCAGTCCGATACGCTGCACATCAGCTCAACCTCTGGCCCCGTGTCTCCTTGCCCGAGACTTCTCCGACACTGCGTTGGACGGGAGAGGCTGGCGATGCGTCGCGTTTTCGGGTCTGGGGATCCCGAGCTTTTGTCCGCGACACGTCCGCGGACAAGCTCTCCCGTCGCGCTGTCCCCTGCGTCTTTCTTGGCTTTGTCCCGGACGCCCCTGGTTGGCAGTTCTACCACCCCACCTCGCGGCGTGTCCTGGCCTCTCAGGACGTCACTTTTGACGAGTCCGTCCCCTACTACCGCCTCTTCCCCTACCGCACTGCCCCGCTCCCCCCCCCACCTCTCTTCCTCGCTCCAGGTGCTGAGGTACCAGACCCCCTCCCCCCTCAGGGTGCCGCTCCCTCAGGTGTGTCCCAGGTAGACCCGGGTGAGCCTGTCGAGGTAGCTGTTGACTCGCGTGCTGCGTCTAGGGGTGCTGAGCCTGGGGGTGCTGCGTCTGGGGGTGCTGAGCCTGGGAGTGCTGAGTCTGGGGGTGCGGAGCCTGGAGGTGCTGAGCCTGGAGGTGCGGAGTCTGGAGGTGCGGAGCCTGGAGGTGCTGAGCCTGGGGGTGCTGAGTCTGGGGGTGCTGAGTCTGGGGGTGCTGAGCCTGCGCGTGCTACACCTGGAGGAGCCCTCTCCTCCCAGCAGCTGCAGGAGAGGTACCTCGAGTACTGCCGCCTCCGGAGAGGTGCTGCTGGAGCTCGTCCCGGTACTTCCCCTCCTACCCAGGAGCTCCCCCCCATTCAGCAGATCCGCGAGTGGTACACACGGCGCTGCAGTCTTCGGAGTGGTGCTCCTGGTGCTGCGGACCCTGGGGGTGGCGCTGCTGCTGGTGCTGAGGACCCGGACGTTGGAGCTGCTGCTGGAGCTGCGGACCCGGGCGGTGGCGCTGCTGCTGGTGCTGAGGACCCGGACGGTGGAGCTGCTGCTGGTGCTGAGGACTCGGACGGTGGAGCTGCTGCTGGAGCTGAGGACCCGAGCGGTGGCGCTGCTGCTGCTGCTGAGGACCCGGGCGTTGGAGCTACTACTGGTGCTGAGGACCCGGACGGTGGAGCTGCTGCTGGTGCTGAGGACTCGGACGGTGGAGCTGCTGCTGGAGCTGAGGACCCGAGTGGTGGCGCTGCTGCTGGTGCTGAGGACCCGGGCAGTGGAGCTGCTACTGGTGCTGAGGACCCGGCCGCTGGAGTCTCCTCTGCTTCTGGAGACGCTGCGCGGCCGCGACCGTACTTCGTACCGCTCCTTCAGCAGGTTCTTGGGCAGGCTCCTCCTCCTTGTCCTCCTCCCTCCGTAGAGTGTCCTCCGCCTGTCCAGCCGCAGTCACAGTTACCGCCTACCTCGCCTCTCCCTGCTCCCTCTCCTTACACTGGTCCCACGGGAGGTCTTACAGAGCGTCGTGAGCCTGAGTCTCGTCCTGCGTCGCCTGTTCGTCCTCCTCGCACTGGTAGTCGTGTCCGTCGTGAGCGTCCTCCTCCTGTCCCAGGCACTCACTACATGACTCTGCGTCCCTCTACTGCTCCTCAGCGTGTCCCTCTGCCGTCTCCTCCTGCGTCCTCTCTACCTACTCTTCCTGACCCGGAGTCTGACCGGTATCGTGCTGAGCACCCTACTGTCACGCGTCTCCTTGCTACTGTTGTCACTGACCCTACCTTTGAGTCCTCGGCTGCGTCTGCTCTGGTCGCTGAGTTGGTTGACTTTGCTGCTGCCTGTCGTCTAGACTACGCTGCTAGCCTTGTTGCTGAGTCTGAGTCTGAATCTGTCTGTCCTCCGTCCGTCGGGGGTGAGTGTGCTCTTGGCACGGACGTCCTTGAGGACAGACAGGAGGAGTTCCAGTGTCTTGCTGCTGCTTTGCCCCGTCTCGTGTCCTTGCTAGTTGCCCCTGAGGGAGACCCGGATGCACCAGACATCCCGACCCCGCGCACTTACGCTGAGGCGATGGCGGGTCCCTACTCCTCTGAGTGGCAGACAGCCATGGACGCCGAGATGGCTTCCTGGAAGTCCACACGCACCTACGTCGACGAGGTTCCCCCTCCTGGGGCGAACATCGTCAGTGGCATGTGGATTTTCAGGGTGAAGCGGCCGCCGGGTTCTCCGCCTGTCTTCAAGGCGCGTTACGTGGCTCGAGGCTTCAGTCAGCGAGAGGGAGTTGACTTCTTCCAGACCTTCTCCCCCACCCCGAAGATGACTACTCTTCGGGTGCTGCTGCACATAGCCGCTCACCGCGACTACGAGCTTCACTCACTTGACTTCAGCACTGCTTTCTTGCAGGGCAGCCTGCACGAGGAGATCTGGCTGCGCCGCCCTCCTGGCTTCACTGGGTCGTTTCCTCCTGGTACCCAGTGGAGGCTTCAGCGGCCGGTCTACGGTCTCCGCCAGGCTCCGCGTGAGTGGCACGACACACTGAGGACTACACTTGCGGCTCTTGGGTTCGCACCTTCTACAGCTGACCCGTCGCTGTTCCTGCGCACCGACACTTCGCTGCCGCCGTTCTACATCCTCGTGTACGTCGACGACTTGGTCTTTGCCACTGCTGACACTGCAGGACTCGCCTACGTGAAGTCGGAGCTGCAGAGGAGACACACTTGCACAGACCTGGGTGAGCTGACAAGCTATCTTGGCTTGCGGATCACCCGGGACAGAGCACGGTGCAGCAGCGCGGTCAGCTTTGTATTCGCTACGTGGCCACTGAGGCCAACACTGCTGATGTGTTCACCAAGGCACTTCAGCCTCGTGACCATCAGCGCTTCTGCACTCTACTAGGCCTTGTGCCTACTGGACCTCACTTACTTACCTCTTGACTTTGCTTGTACTGTGATCACTATATATATCTATACCTGCATGTTTACTCTTGCTAGGTTGTGATCACTGTATCTCTTGCTCTGTTATAAACCTGCATGTGAACTAGTCTTGTGACCGCTTGCTTGTGCTCAGAATTTGTGTGGTATCCTTGAGATCCACCCTGAGCTTGTTTTGCTTTGCTTTGACTGGTCTTGTGACCCCTTGCTCTCCCCCACTTTGCCTATGGGGGTGTGTCAAACATTATATATGTTGTGTTTGTTTAGGCTACAGTGGGTTAGCCTATAGGGGGTACACAATTCTAGGGTTTGGTACTTGTACTGCTTTCACTCATAGTTCAATCATTCCAGTCAAGGAGACACGGGGCCAGAGGTTGAGCTGATGCGCGGCGTACCGGACAGCAAACGGCCACAGAAAATGGGGAGCCGCCGCGTGGACCAAGGAGGTACGAGCGACCTCCATGACCAGGCCAATGCGGCGCTCAGCAACCCCATTCTGCTGTGGGGAGTCCGGAAGCGTGAAGGTCTGCTCGATGCCCTCCGCCTGACAGAAGGTCCTCAAGAGGTCGGAGGAAAACTCACCACCTCTGTCAGAGTGCAGACGCAGGACAGGAAGATCCGTCCGGAAACGGCGGCGGAGCTGGAGACGAACTGTGCGGATCCAAGGGATCAGAACAGCAGGGACCTCACCCTTGGTGCGCAAGGGGAAGACCGTGGTGTAACGCGAGTAGTCGTCGACAACCAGCAAAAAGTACCGCTCACCGCCCTGGCCACGAACGCGGGCTGGGCCCCACACGTCCAGGTGGAGGGTCTGCAGAGGAGCCCCTGTCGGGGGGAACGAGGAGGAGTGAGGAGCGGCGCGCTACCGCCCCTCGACGCAAGGAAGGCAAGGCGGCGCAGGCGAGGAAGGGAGAGGAGGGAGGGACCTGGGAAGACCAGACACAAGGCGGCGACGGTGCATGCCACGGAGGCGTGGCAAGGAGGGGTGACCCAGGCGGTGGTGCCAGAGAAGAGTCTGGTGCGACAGGGAACGACACTCACAGGCGTGGGCCACCAGACCTGACGCGGACACCTGACCGACAGCAGCGACCTGAGGAGACGCAGTGGTCAGTGTGTAGAGACTCGACCCCGGCCGACGAGTAAACGTAGCCAGGTGACGGCCGGTCCTGGAGCACGTGCAGATCGCCACACGCTGTCCTCCAGGGGTAAAGGTGTCAACCCACTGATCCTGGATGACAGCGTTGCTCACCAGGTTCGTCGAGAACGAGGGGAGGTGGAAACCCGTCAACGAGCCAGACGGAACCGCCGGACAAGGGAGCACAGTGGTGGACTGGGCAAGGACTGGGCCCCCAGAGGGGTCAGCCAAGGAGACTGGGACCGGTGCAGGAAGCGGTGTGAGCTCAGTACTGTCTCGAAAGAAGCAGCGGGAAGCACCTGAGTCAAGGGTGAAGGTGTGACAGGTCTCAGCCGGTGCAGTACCTGAGAGAGCAGTCTCTGTGGGTGCTGTACCTGAGAGAGCAGACTCGCAAGCAGCAGGGACAGTGCTGGAGGGAGCAGGTACAGGGGGCACCATACCAGAGAGAGCAGACTCACTAGTACCTAGGGCAGCGGGCCCTATACCTGGGTCAGGCGGCACACACAAGTAACAGTCTCCCTCGGCACTAACAGTCAATGCATACATGGCAGCAATAATAGCATCATAGTCAAGAGCAAAGATATCAACACCAGCCCTCATCAGCTCAGCCCAGCGAGGGCGCTCAACATCCTCGCCCATCTCCTCACGCCAAGCGTCGTCAAGGCGGAAGAAGCAGCGGTACTGAGTGTGGAACTTTCCACACGTCTGCCCCTTGCGATCACCTGTGCGAATGACATAGGAACAGCGGCCACTGCCCCCCGACGTCCCACGCTGAGCAAGCCACTCACGAAGCTGCTGGGTCGACTGGGGACGCTGCTGCTGCTGGGAGCTCTGGCCCGAGCCGGTGCCTCCACTCCGACCTCCACCGCCGCCACTACCTCCGCTCCGACCGCCACCACCGCCACCGCCACCGCCACTACCGCCACCGCCGCCACTGCCGCCGCTGCCACCACCGCCACTGCTCCCGCCGCCGCCCCCGCCTCCGCCGCCGGCCCCACTCCCACCGGCACTCCCGCCACCGCTCCCTCCAGCACCGCCTCCCCCCCCACCTCCCCCACCCCCTCCCCCCCCAGCGCCACCCCCGCCACCCTTGCCCCCCTTGCCCTTGCCGGTGCGGCGCCTCCCACCAGGAGCAGAAGCAGCGCCAGCAGACTCAGCACCAAGGAAGTCAACAGCAGCAGCAGTAGCATAGGAGGGAGCGAGGGGAGAGGGAGAGCACCCCTCAAAGATGGGGGTGCGAGGAGCGCCGCGAGCAGCACCTACAGCTACAATGCTCTTCTCGGCTGCTAGCAGCTTCTCCTCTAGGAGGGCGACTGTGAGCTCAGTGGGACAGCGAGCAAGGAAATAGTCGCGCACTGAGCTGAGGGTGTCAGGGAGACGGGTGACTATGAAGTGGAGTGCCCAGTACAGGGGAGGGGGGTTCTTAGCGCAGAACTCGGTGGGAAGGGCGGCACGCAGGCGAGCATCACTAGTGCGAAGGTGGGTGATAAGATCGGCGACTGTAGCAAAGGTGGACAGGTCAGGGAACAGGTAAGGCAGCATGAGACGGCTAAGCTCGGCTGTGGCAGGTGAGGAGTAGCGAGCAACGACAGCGTCGTACAGGGCCTTAGCGGTTTTGCAGTCGCCAAAGTGCTCTAGCTCAGCTAACGGCAGGTGACTGCGAATAGCCAGGCGAGCTGCAGCGTCACGAGTCTGCCACTGTGAACGTACACTAAGCTCGGCTGTGGCAGCAGGAGCAGCGGCAGCACCAGACGCGTAGTCATAGAGGGAGATGTGGTCCGTGCTATTGCTCATAAGATACAACTGCAGGTCGTCGAGCCAGGAAGTGAACTGCACGGGACGGCCCTCAGCATCGAAGGAAAGAACGCGAATAGAGGCCATAGCTCAGGCGTGAGGGCACAGCAGAGCAGCGGCAGCAGCAGAGGGGACGCGCTAGAGCGAAGCTAGCAGCCACAGCAGGAGCAAGCGGCGGTGCACAGGCAGGGAGCAGCAGGCGAGGCGGGCGGCGCTGCAGGCGGGAAGTGCGGCGGGCGGGCTGCGAAGCGGGCAGCGGGGCGGGCGGGCGACGCGGCGAGCGGGCAGCGCGGCGGGCGGCTGCGAAGCGGGCAGCGGGCGGGCGGGCGACGCTGCAAGCGGGCAGCGGGCGGGCGGGCGACGCTGCAAGCGGGCAGCGAGGCGGGAGGGCGACGCTGCGAGCGGGCAGCGGGCGGGCGGGCGACGCTGCGAGCGGGCAGCGAGCGAGCGGGCGACGCTGCGAAGCGGGCAGCGGGCGGGCGGGCGACGCTGCGAGCGGGCAGCAAGCGGGCGGGCGACGCTGCGAAGCGGGCAGCGGGCGGGCGGGCGACGCTGCGAGCGGGCAGCGAAGCGGGCGGGCCGCGAAGCGGGCAGCGAGCGGGCGGGCGGGCTGCGAAGCGGGCAGCGGGGCGAGCGGGCTGCGAAGCGGGCAGCGGGGCGAGCGGGCGACGCTGCGAGCAGGCAGCGCGGCGGGCGGGCGGCGAGCGGGCGGCTCGGCGGGCGGGCGACGCTGCGAGGGGCGCGCGAGGGCGCTAACGAGGGGCGCTTCGAGGGCGCTAGCGAGGGCGCGCGAGGGCGCTAACGAGGGGCGCGCGAGGGCGCTAACGAGGGCGCGCGAGGGCGCTAACGAGGACGCACGAGGGCGCTACGAGGCTAGGGCACGGGGTAGCGTGGTAACCGCATGCGAGCGGTGGTGGGCCCTTAAAAGAAACGGTCGATAGGTCCTAGGGACCTCCTGCTCTGAATACCATCTCAACAGGACTAAGCAAGAATGTGTCATTGAATGGAAGAATTGGGTACAAGTAGCAAACCCTAGTTGGGGTTGTACCCCATACTGGCTACCCCACTACAGCCTACCAACATAACACAGTTTAACACGTTATTACTGACATGTAGATGATGTGCTCTGTCAGGGCTGTAAATCAGGATTTCGTCTAGAAGCGGTTGGAAGGCCTTAATCATGGTCATTTGAAAGGTGGCGGGGACGTTTGCTATTCCGAAGGTCATTACAGTGTATCCAAAAGATCCGTAGTGGGTGCGAAAAGCGGTTTTCGAGCGGTCGGGTGGATTGACGCAGATCTGGTGGTAACTTCCTCGAAGGCTCAGGCTGTGCAAAGATGGTCTATCATTGCGAAGATCGAGTAATGGGATCTAATTGTAATCCTGTTGAGTGTACGGTAATCTATGCATATGCAAAAACCCCTTTTTTTTTCGGTGCGAACTGTAGTTGTGCGACGAAGGGCGACGAGCTTGAGCCAATGAACTTTTTCTCGAGTAGTTAGTCTAGCTGTATTCGCAGATCTGGTGGTAACTTCCTCGAAGGCTCAGGCTGTGCAAAGATGGTCTATCATTGCGAAGATCGAGTAATGGGATCTAATTGTAATCCTGTTGAGTGTACGGTAATCTATGCATATGCAAAAATCCCCTTTTTTTTCGGTGCGAACTGTAGTTGTGCGACGAAGGGCGACGAGCTTGAGCCAATGAACTTTTTCTCGAGTAGTTAGTCTAGTTTGGGTTGGGTCGGTCGAAACTGTTGCTATACTGTTGGTTGTGCCCCCCGTTCTGATTCCATCGTGTCGTAATGCGGTCATTAAGGTGGTAGTCCCTCTGGTAAGTCGTCCGGGAATATCCCACTACACTGCTTCAGTAGCGCTGCCAAGTCATCTGATCGCTCGACTTGTCTACTTCCTCGGCTTCTCGAACGTCAACCGTATACACATCAGCCCGTGCCGCTATGGCGTTTTGTTAGAGATAAAGGACGGAGTCTAGGAGCTTAGGAGCCGAAAATATCTCAAAATTGTTGGTCCTATTTTCTGGACAGAATCGTCGAATTCACAAGAAACGTTGTCGACGAAAATTGCACCGTTGGGATTGTCTCAAACTCGAGGCGCAAAAAATACGCAATATGATCAGTTTTTCTGTGAAGAGCTAAGAAACCAAGGATTCTAATTTATATAATAATTCATTAGCTTCATAAATAATATTTTTCACCTTTCGACTTTAAAGTTGTCAGCAAAGGCTCATTACTGTTTTGCACAAAATGTTTTAATGTCTCTTTTGAGTCTTTTATCTGCTTATCAAGGAATATTAGCAAAGCTATAACCAGAATTTATTATCACTAAGAATAAAATGCTAACCGTTACATTATCAGTAATAAATTCTATTTTTCTTATTAAACTATCTAACATAAATAATTAATACTATTTCAAAATTATTTGAAAATTATTCTACCTTTAAAGCTTGCTATATGATCGACAATTTTATTTAAATCACTATTTAAATTATTAGCTAGTTTATAAAGGGCACCTATTATAGCCCTTGACCGTGGCTATCATTCCCAATTTGAATCGTGTCAAAATATGAAGTATATCTCGAGTTATGCTTTTCGGCGCACTAGGGGGTATGCTGCCACAGAAACTTTAACTCAATCACAAGAGTTTCACAAGTTCCACAAAGGATACACACAAGAGAGTTAGAGCAGCACATTTACCATGTAGGAGGGAAGAGAAGGACGAGAGGGAAGGTCCCAAAGGAGTCCCCAACCAAGGAAACCCCATGTCACACAATTCCCCTCTCCATAGGCAACCCCACTTTCACATTTGTCACTTTCCCAACCTCCACAATCCACCTCACCCCACTTGGCCACACTTGCCAACCTGGTTTGGCTTCTCCCAACCACATGGCAGCAATCTACAGTGATGGGTTCGAATTCCCAACCCCAAAAGTCTGTACCCCATATTGAGTCACTCTCACAACTTCCCAAAGTCGCCGCAACCAAAGTATAGAAAGCATACGAACTCCAATGTCCGTAACTTTCTTGTTCTTGCTCCGATCGCGACGATTCTTGGTTCGTCGGAAAGCTCTCGAGCAGAGCAATCACTTCAGATATCTGCTCAAGCCAAATAACATTCACACACACTCAGAAAATCCAAACCGCGCATATCACAAATTCTTGCACACGCTCACACCACGCATGCAATGCACAAACATTTGATGGGAGGCAGACAGACGTGAATGCGAATGATAGCATCACACAACAAACTCCCCCTCTGGCTGCCAACCATCATCCCACATGCCATAGCTCAAGCATGCACCCTCAATGCACACTCATCCCAGCAAGTTTCAATCACATCCAGCACTCATTCCAATGGATAGTCATCTCCTTCCAATATCCCACTTCCAGCATCTCCGTTTTGCTCAAGTCTGCAGCACCCCTCTAGAGCATCTGTCAGGGCACTATCCTCCAAACCTTCTCAGTGTAACCCCACAACAATAGGCTATCTCATCCTCATTCATTCGCTCAGCCACACTCCCAGCTGGCTCAACACTTGGCTTCCCAAAGCTCGGATAGGTCAGCCGGTTAGGAGGGCGCACATCCCTCCTAGGACGGTCAGCCGCACGTTGCTGCTGCTGCTGCTGCGGCTGCTGCTGCTGCTGCTGCTGCTGCTGCTGCTGCTGCTGCTGCTGCTGCTGCTGCTGTTGCTGCGGCTGCTGCTGCTCCTCCACCTCAGGTTCTCCCCCATCCTCAGTCACCCCAGAGATCTCCTCCCCCGACACGGAGACCTCCACCTGCCTTGAAGGCCGCTGCACCTCATCAGCCTCAATGATCAGCGGTGTTGTGGGAAGCTTCTGCTGCTGCTGCTTCCACTCCTTGTAGTACAAGGACTCGAGGAATTTCACATCCCTCGACACAGTCAGCTGCTGGCTGGTCAGATCCCAAATCAACCAGCCCTTGTGATCCTTAGCAAGTCCCAAGTGCACACCCCATCTCCCAGAAGCTTCCAGCTTTCCCCTCTTCTCCTTCGGCACATGAAACACCACCATGCAGTCGTACGCTCTCAACATGTGGAGCCATCCAACGCCTCAATCTTGGATGGTGGCGGCTCACTCCTCTTCTCAGCTGCTTCTCCACTCATCTCCTCTGCTCCCAATCAGAGGTCTTAGCTCCCCCCTTAGTTGGTCTTAATGTTGGTCCACACAATCTTCACAAGTGTCGGCGCCAACGAAATTTCGGCAGAGTTTCCCCTTAGCGGAAGTCACTCCCAACCTCTAGAACTCCACTTAGGCACGCCCACAGGCCATGGTGGGTCTAGGAGGGTCTTCACACTTCAGTAGACTCTCCACAAAGTCCTTAATCCGCTCTGATACCACTTGTAAGAGATAAAGGACGGAGTCTAGGAGCTTAGGAGCCGAAAATATCTCAAAATCGTTGGTCCTAGTTTCTGGACAGAATCGTCGAGTTCACAAGAAACGTCGTCGACGAAAATTGCATTGTTGGGATTGTCTCAAACTCGATTATGTTACAGCCCTTGGCCGTGGCTATCATTCCCAATTTGAATCGTGTCAAAATATGAAGTATATCTCGAGTTATGCTTTTCGGCGCACTAGGGGGTATGCTGCCACAGAAACTTTAACTCAATCACAAGAGTTTCACAAGTTCCACAAAGGATACACACAAGAGAGTTAGAGCAGCACATTTACCATGTGGGAGGGAAGAGAAGGACGAGAGGGAAGGTCCCAAAGGAGTCCCCAACCAAGGAAACCCCATGTCACACAATTCCCCTCTCCATAGGCAACCCCACTTTCACATTTGTCACTTTCCCAACCTCCACAATCCACCTCACCCCACTTGGCCACACTTGCCAACCTGGTTTGGCTTCTCCCAACCACATGGCAGCAATCTACAGTGATGGGTTCGAATTCCCAACCCCAAAAGTCTGTACCCCATATTGAGTCACTCTCACAACTTCCCAAAGTCGCCGCAACCAAAGTATAGAAAGCATACGAACTCCAATGTTCGTAACTTTCTTGTTCTTGCTCCGATCGCGACGATTCTTGGTTCGTCAGAAAGCTCTCGAGCAGAGCAATCACTTCAGATATCTGCTCAAGCCAAATAACATTCACACACACTCAGAAAATCCAAACCGCGCATATCACAAATTCTTGCACACGCTCACACCACACATGCAATGCACAAACATTTGATGGGAGGCAGACAGACGTGAATGCGAATGATAGCATCACACAACACGTTTTTCATCGTGATCACGTTGACACCCACCGACGAAGATCCAATCGACCTCCAGCGAGTTAGGGCGATGTTGGCTAATCGCAATCGCGATTTAAATGCGACGGGGTATCCTGGCGGAATTACTTGGCAGCCATGGATTAGATCTAGAAAATGGCTTAAGCAAAAGTTCAAATCTGAAAAGTGAGGAGTTCGACGAATCCTACCATCCAAACCATCGCCATACAACAATTCCCAACAACTCAAAGTGTCAAACTAGACACAGAGTAGATCGCATGTGTCGTATCCAGCGTTTCTCCATTATACACAGTGATTCGGACATTGATAGGACAGCCTCTCTTTTGGATGTAATTTTAGATAAGACAAAACTCCAACATTTTACTGGGGGAAACTCTCAAGAGTGATCCATAGCGGAATGATGATGACTAGCAAGATGGAAGATACAAATGCTAAACCTAGAAAGTGTTGTACTCCCTACGGCCCTACTCACTATAGCCTATCAACGTAATGTCTAACATTTGACAGCAACACAACACATATGTCCAGAGTGGAAGAGTCAGCAGGCCGAGGGCGCAAGGACCAGCAACAGTGCGACTACCAGCGAGGGGAAACGTTGACACTGAGGAAACCGCGGCGCATCTTCCCAGCAGTGCAGCGCAGGGCGTCGAGCAGGAAGGACCAGGACGACCCGAGCGCACCGATGAAGTAGTCGGCCTCGCCCGCCAGCAGCAGATTCACAAACGCGTTGTCCGTGCTGCGCTGCACGCCCAGCGCGCGCTCGTACGCGGGCATGCTGTCGTTGCCCGCCATGCGCGGCACGTCCGTGGTGAACCACGTCCACCCGCCCATGCCGCTCAGCTGCTCCACCACCTGGTGTGCCGTGGTGGTGGCGCGGGGGATTTCAGGAACAAGGAGCACACAAATCTGTGTGTGCAATACAATCTTCGTTGGTGGACTGTGTCGGTGTTTCAAGTGGGACTCACTGAAAGCTCCACACAAGCCCCACTCCTCACACTTCCAGCTGGCATTTGGTGCCACTGGTACCCAAGTCACCCGCATTCAACCCCCAGGCAGGCAGCATGGTGGTGACTCACGGGCTGCATCTCGGTGGCGAGCCACACGAAGCGCGCGTGGGGGTCGTGGCGGCGCACGCGCAGCAGCAGGCGCACGTACTCCGCTGCGCCCGCCACTCGCATCTCGCGCCCCTTGTCGCCCATGCGCACGTGCATGCTCACCAGCGCGCGCGGCACCCACGGCACCCGCACCCGCCACCACAGCTGCCGTTCCATGGGGCCTGGCGGAGGCCATTGAGGGACGAGGGGGAGGGTGGGGGGGGAGGGGGAGGTGGGGATGCGAAAGTGAGCGGGTGCGGGGGAATTACCTGTGTGCAGTGGTCACATGAACAGTAGTGCAGCTGACGAGCGAAGGAGGTGCCGTGTGCTGCACGGCACCTCAAGGGGACCGTTGAGTCGGCACCTCAAACACAAGGGGACCATGCGAGATCATGTGTAGCAGCGGCAGTACGTGGGGGGCATAGTTTAGGGACTTGGGGGGCATGAAATGGCAGGGCGTGCAGCACTCACCTGGTGCGATGGTCCACAGTGAGCTGCTGTCAGACGGACCAGCGGTCACTGCAGCAGAGGCACGTAACCCTGTGACTGCCATTTCCCCATCCCCTACAGCCGCGCCTCCCTCAGCCACGTCAGCCTCAGCAGCCGCAGCCGCGAGTTCCGCCTGGGCAACGGCAGCAGCGGCGAGGCGGCCGAAGGAGAGGTGGCGCTGCGCGTTGAGCAGGCGGCAGAGGCGCGGCGACGGCGCCCTGAGGAAGAAGCGCGCCGCCTGGGCTCGCCACCAGCGGTGCGTGTTGCTGCGAGGGGGGGTTGGGAGGAGGGTGGTGGGGTTGAGGGGAGAGCAATGCGTGGTGCAGCGTGTAGGGTGTTTGGCTTTGTTAGAGCAAGCATTAGTCTTACGCGCTGCGTTGAGGGGGGAACATGGCATGGAGGGAGGGAGGGAGGGAGGAAAGAAGGATGGCGGAAAAGAGGGAGGGAGGGAGGGAGGGAGGGAGGGAGGGAGGGAAAGAGGGAGGGGAAAGAGGGAGGGAGGGAAAGAAGGAGGGGAAAGAGGGAGGGAGGGAAGGAGGGAGGGAGGGAGTGAGTGAGTGAGGGAGGGAGGGAGGGAGGGAGGGAGGGAGGCGAGAAGGGAGGAAGGAGGGAGGGAGAGAGAGAGGAGGGAGGGAGAGAGAGAGGGAGGCGAGGAGAGGAGGGAGGGGGAGAGGGAAGGAGGGAAAGGGGGGGAGGTGGCGGACTTCATGCGGTTGGTGGTGATGAGGCGCCCCTCCGCCTCCACGACGCCTGGGATGGCCAGCCATGGCTGCCCCCACCGCCTCGGCACCACGGGGAAGAACAGCCGCCGCGTCCCCCTCTCACGCCGCTGCTGTCTGCCGCCCGACTCCTCTCCCCCTGCATCCTCCCCCTCTGCCCCCTCCTCCTCCACTCTGCCCTGCTCCCCCCCATCGTCCTCGCCTGAACTCCCCGCGTGTTGAAGGGGCTGAGGGGCGGCGAGGGAGGGATGCTTGGGGGTGGCGAGCAGCGGGTGGGCGCCCTGGAACGATGCCGCGTGCATGGCCAGGGCGTGAGCGCGCCTGGCGGGAGGACATGGAAGAAATGGATGGGGTTGCGAACAGCGCGAATGGGCGGGCTTGCATAAATTTTGAAAACCATAAACGTAACCAGCACCTGCCATACCTTCAGGCCTTCCCTGCCTCAACTCTTCACCTGCAGCATGCCTCACCGCGTGCACTCGCCTCACCGCGTGCACTCGCCTCACCGCCTGCACTGGTGGGACGTCTCTGGGAGGAAGTAGCAGCGCCACTCGCCGTGCATGCCCTCGCGCGCACACCCCTCATGCTCCGCGCGCTCAAAGCCCCCCACCAGCCCCACGCCCCCGCGCCCCTTGCCCCTGGCCCCCGTGTGCGCAATGACCAGCACCCTGCCGCTGCGCACGGCCATTGCCAGCGCGCCCGCCAGCAGCGTCATCTGCGTGCCCAGCCCGTGCCGCCTGCTCTGCCCCACCGGCGCCAACAGGAACCTGCCGGGGGCGAGGGGGACGGACACGGGAGGGGACAGGTGGGGACCGTGAGGGCGGGCGGCGTGGAGAGGGCGAGGAGGTGGGTGCATGGCATGGCGCATGGCGCATGGCGCATGGCGCATGGCGCATGGGGCATAGGGCATGGCGCATGGGGCATGCTCAGCGCACAGCGCAGCCCCCCCAGCCGTGGGTGCAGCGTCCCACTCGCCTTACAGCGGGGTGGGAGCAGTTGCTACTCGCCTTACAGCGGGGTGGGAGCAGTTGCTACTCGCCTTACAGCGGGGTGGGAGCAGTTGCGGGGGAACTGGTGGCGCCAGAGGTCGCGCTGCACGACCCGCGTGAGAGGGTAGTTGTCGGCGTCCGCGCCCTCCACCCACGGCGGAAACGGCCCCTCCACCGCCGCCTCGCCCCGCCTGCGCGCCTCTCCTCCCAGCTCCGCCGCCTCCCTCCGCACCTCCCCGCCGCTGCTCCCGCCTATCTCACTCTCCCTCTCTCCCCCCTCCTCTCCAACCCCTTTCTCCCCCTCCCCTTCCCTCTCCCCCTCCCCCTCCCCCTCCCCATCGCCCGCATAGCGTCGGACGGCGGCCCAGGGAGGGTCGGAGCCATCGGCGGGGCGGCTGGCCCAGTGCTCCTCCGCGTACACGCGCGCATTCGCCGCGCAATCCGCCAAATGCGGCGCTGGAACGAGCTCTGTTGGCGGGCCTGCGAATTCGGTCGGAGGTAACGCGACGCTCTGACCGGAGCCCTCTGAGTCGCTTGCGACTGGATCTGCGACGGTTGGAGGCGACTCTGCGAGATGAGCAGCCCATGAGGCCAGCAGTTCGTCAACTCGTCGCTGAAGCTGCTCGTGCGTCGCTGGCGACTCGTGCGACGCTGGCGATCCTTTCTGCTCCCCCAGCGACTCCAATCTATACTGCTCGTCGACCGCGTGGATGGCGATGTGCTCCACGGCGACGGGCTGCTGCAAGAGGAGGAGGAGAAACGCGGCGACGGGGAGGCACAGCAGCGCGGCGTGGAGCGGCGAGCGGAGGAAGGAGACGAGGGGCTTGGGCGCGGCGAGCGACAGAAGGGATGCGAACGACGGGGCAGGCGCAGCGGGAGGCGGGCGGGTCGCGGCGATGGTGGACGGCACGCGGTCACTGCCAGCTCCGTTCCTCTCGGCGGCTCCCTGGCTCTGCGCTTCCGGCGCCGGCATTGCCCACACGTACTGTTACTATGAAAGTGTAAAATACACCCTCTTTCTCGAACCTCTCACCAGCGCGCTGACTCGTGTACAATGCTTGGATCTAGCGCGCTGGTAATGCTAACCGATTTCGCCAGCAAAGCCGCACCTAGCGACAAAATTGTGCGTGAGTTGGTCAAGATCACGCAGAACCGGAACAGCGCACAAGGCAGCTGTTCCGCTAATCCCGCTGTGGCATCACGGGTCATTCCGTGAAATGCAGAAGGGCCGAACCAAATTCACGCAGCTAAAACACTGGGTGCAAAACAGCATAAGACACACCAGTACAGTGCGTCAACTTCAGAACGCAGGAGTCACAACCAGCCCTCGACACCTAGCAAGCAAAAAGAGGCAAATCACCTAGCAACAAAAGTCACGCACCCAGCCAGCAACTGACGGCGCGTCATTTTCATATCAGGTCAGCTCAATTTACGCAACCCGAAACGAATTTCGTAGGGTAACCAGCTAGCAAGGGTTAAGCGTGTCCCTACACACTAATGCGCCGAATTGCGAGGACGCTATACGAACAGGTCCCCACACGAAACAAATTCGTGCAGATCTCGAAATTTAGCGGGGGCCCAGCAGCTGTCTCTCTCAACACATGTGTCCCCCCGCTGTTTCAATGACCAGATTCGGTTCCAACAACGTTTTATCAATCTGTGCAGAATTCGAAATTTTGTGTCATTTTGCCGAAACGAACGCGGGGGACGCGCCCTGAGTCCTATATTCTCCCTAGCACACTCAAGCTACGAACAACCAAGACACGCACACAACCATCATAGTCATTTTCATAACGCGACATCATAAAAAGGGAGCAAATATTCTCGGTAGCCTTAAAGCCCAAAACCTGAATTACTCAACGCAAGTCAACGGAAAAAAATAGGTTCGGAAGGCAACCAGACAGAGGTTCGGTTGGGGTGCGAAGCACTTTCACTCGCGAAACCAATTTGCGACAAAAGTTTCTCGCGTACAAGAATACGAGTGCTAGGTGGGGTCCTTCCCACAACCTGAAAAGGGCGTAGATCCCAAACTGTGCACAGTCTGAGATAGCACGCAGATAACTAGGCAGGGAGCGTACCTGTAGAGATAGCGGGGAATCAGAGGCGCCTTACGAATGTGTGTGGCGCGGATTTCGATGACGACGCGCAAAGTAGTGTTCGTTGGTGTCGAAATGCAGGTTTAGTGCAACTGATGCGTATACTCGCACGGAATATCGTAGCGTGACCCTTCGCCAAAGCATGAACCTCTCCTTGCCGTCGTTTTCCTTTCCCAAGGCCCCACGATTTCAATCTCTTTCGCCATCGCTTCCCCAGCTCGTCGCCTTCAAGACCTCCTTCCGATGCCTTCGCGACCCCAGCCCGTCGCCTTCGCTCCGCCCGTTGCCCTCGCTTTCCACGCCTGTCGCCTTCACTTCCCCTCCCCCGTCGCCTTCTCTTTCCCCCGACCCCGTCGCGCTCAATTCCCCCTCCCGTCGCTTTTCCCGCCCGTCGCCTTCGCTTCTCCCGAACGGCGCCTTCCGTTCCCCCGCCCGTCGCTCTCGCTTCCCCCGCCCGTCGCTCTCGCTTCCCCCGCTCGTCGCACACCGCGCCAGTCGCACACGCTTCCCGCCCGTCGCACTCGCTTCCCGCCAGTCGCACTCACTTCCCGCCCGTCGTCTTCACTACCCCTCCCATTGCCGTTCACTCTCTCCAGCTCACGCTCTGCCCTCCACTCACTCTCTTCCCCACCCTTCACTCTCTTCTCTCATGTACACTCCCTTTCCCCCTGTTCTCACTCCTCTCTTTCCCCCTCGCCTCACTCTCTACCCCCCTGCTCAATCCCTTCCCCCCTCGATCTCTTTCCCCTGTTCAGACCCCTCGGTTTCCCCTGCTTACTGGCTTTCCCCCCTGCTCACCCCCTTCTCCCCCCTGCTCACTCTCTTTCCCCTTTTGCTCACCCCTCTGCCCCGTCCACATCCAACCCTCGCTTATCTGCCATACCCCCTCTTCCCTTCCCGTTCTATCACGGAACCATGCTTGAACAGGTTACAGGTGCCCAGCACCATGAGTCCCAACAGGAATGTGATGACTGTGTTCCTGTAGTCTATTGATGACAACTTTTACATAAACAATATTATGCTTTGTTCCACTTCTTTGTAGTGGCCATGTGCATGGCTGCTCTGAAGCAGAGAAGGTTTTATTAATAAAAGCATAAGCGTCAATACATGGCATGGCAACCTATTTGTCATACCACTATCATCAAACAACGAACACCTCACATCTGGGTGCATGGCAGACCTGCACAAACACGAACCACAAAATTTTGTGTGTCATATGTTGGAGCAGCTGGGAAGGAGACCGTACAAAACAATAACAATCAAAGGGCAATCCCCTTGAATATACAAACAGGCTAGGAGTGTACAGGCTTGGAAGGGAAAGGGTGGATGGGAGGATGTGAGAAATTCGAGGGAGTAGGCAAGTGGGTCAGACAGAAAGGCGGAGGATAGGAATATCGGAAGATGGCAGCTTGAAAAAAAGGGCAGCAGGGTGGAGAGGCAGGAGGATGAAAGAAAGAGTGGGTGGGAGAGTGGTAGGGAGGAGGGAGGCTTGGAGGAAGGGCGGATGGGAGAAAGTGAGGGAGGTAAAAGTGTGGCAGGGTATAAGGGAGGAACGGGGAGAAGGGAGAATCAGAGAGAAGGAAAGAAGGGTACAAGGGTGTGGGGGGAGCGTGGGTGACGGTGGGAGGGAGTGTAGGGAGAGTGGGAGGCAGTGAGGGCGACGGAGTGAGGATGGGCGGATGAGAGGATGGGCGGATGAGAGGATGGGCGGATGAGAGGATGGGCGGATGAGAGGATGGGTGGAACGGAGGAGCAGGGTTGGCGTGAGGAAGGGAGTGGGCGAGAGGGAGATGGAAAGGGAAAGGGGGACTGGATCGAGGGAGGATGAGGAGAGGGAGAATGGCAGGAAGGGAGGGCGGGAGGAAGGGAGGGAGAACGGGCAACAGAAAGGGGAAAGAGGGTAGTGAGGCAGAGAGTGTGGGATAGATGGAGGAAGGGAGGAAGAGAGAGGGAGAGGAGGACGACTGTGGGGGCCCCACGGAACGGAGTAAGGGAGGAGGGCAGGAGGTAAGAGTGTGGCAGGAGGTAAGGGGGATAGGAGGATCCCTGCACCCTCTCTCCCTAACCCCTCCCCCGCTCCGCCTCCCCTAACCAGCCCCCTGCAGCACTGCACTCCTTGCTGCCCGCCTGCACGCGCTGCCCTGGCTGTGCGCCCAACACTCTGCTCCAAAGCCGCACCACCACCTGCCATGGGCGACAGTGAGGGGAAGCGTGGGCGACGTTGAGAGGAAGCGTGGGCGACGGTGGGGGAAAGCGTGGGCGACGGTGAGAGGAAGCGTGGGCGACGGTGAGATGAAGCGTGGGCGATGGTGGGGGAAAGCGTGGGCGACGGTGGGAGGAAGCGAGCGCGACGGTGGGGGAAAGCGTGGGCGACGGTGGGAGGAAGCGAGCGCGACGGTGGGGGAAAGCGTGGGCGACGGTGGGAGGAAGCGAGCGCGACGGTGGGGGAAAGCGTGGGTGATGTGCGGGGAAGCGTGAGGGAAGGTGGGGGAGGGCGCGAGCGACGGTGTGGGGAAGCGTGGGGGAAGGCAGGAGGGAGCGTGAGCAGCGGTAAGGGAAAGCGTGAGCGACGGTGGCGGAAAGCGAGGGCGACGGTGGGGGAAAGTGTGAAAGCGACGGTGGGTGGGAGCGTAAGCGACAGTGGGGGGAAGCGTGGGTGACGGGAGGAAGAGCGTGGTCAACGACGGAGTGAAGTGTGATCGACAGCGGGAAGAAGCGCGGGCGACGGTGGGGGGAAGCGTGGGGGACGGCGACGTCGACGAGGGGAAGCGTGTGTGGCAGGGTGTGACGCCGACAAGGAAGGACGGTGGGGGAACATAGCTGAGGCAAACATAGGGCGAATGCGCGGGAAATGGCAGCGATCGACCGTACGATTACCTAATATCGACCTCGGAGAGGAGATGCATGCGCCGCAAACTGACGTTTTCGCGGTCGCGCAGGGTTTCGACGACGACGCTGAGTGAAAAGTGGCGCCATCGCATAGAATCTGTTTGGTGTTTTTTTTCCTACCAAACTATTGGGCTCGGGCTCTATTGGCTTTCTGTTCTACCTAGGAGTTTCACGTGGATACTATGTGGTCGAGCATGACCTGAATTACCACAATTTCCAAACTGCGCACAGCTTGCCTTCCCCTACTCCCTTCAGGAGGGAGCGGTTGGGACTCTCGCCAACCAATTTTGTGCTGCTCTACGACTCTCTGGTTCTTTGCGGGGCGTCATTTGGTAACCAGAGAGGCTCGGGAAGTCAACTGTGGGCTCGGAAGGCAAACTGTGCACAGTTTGCCTTCCTTTTTTTGTAATTCAGGTCTTGGGCTTTAAGGTGAGGACTTTTTGTGACAAAATGAACAGAGAGGGAAGGAGTGCTACATTTCAGACCAGCTCTAGAAAATTTGACCCCCCATAATGTCCCATCAAACTGACCTCAATGTTACCCCTAGGTATCCTCGGGAAGTTAACCTGTGGGTGTTTGAGGGTACGTTCCTGGCTCGTGTCAAACTTTCGGTCTTCCAGGGATGACACGAAGCTCGCCCCACAGCTCGCCCCACTTCGGGTCTTCCCACAGAAATATGCCCCTGGCTCGGAAAACACGAAGTTTGGCCGGAAGTTTGACACGCGCCAGGAACGTACCCTGACAAGGTTACCTTGCAGGTAAGAGGTAGCCTCAGTGGTAACTAACAAGGTCATCTCAGGTGCGCCCACATGTGTAACACTCAACTCATCCACAACTCATCATCAACTCACCCGCAGGAAACCTTACGCTAAACCGACATGCTTTCCGATTGGTGTTCAGCCCCTACGTTCACGTGGAATGCTCGACTGTGATTAACTCCAAGAATCCCGCGCAGCGCATGAATCGACGTCCCCTGATTGGTTCGCGCAAGCATGAGGTAACAGGGGTACGATTTCGTGCACTGTAGCTAACTTCAAAACCGATAGTTTCGATAATGTGAGAAGTTCGATGAACTAGTTGTCGGAATCAACAGACAGGAATGACTGTACTAGCACAAAGTTGGATACAAGTAGGAAACCCTAATCTAGTGTACCCCCTAAGGTGTAACCCACTACAGCCTACAATCATATAAACATATAATGTTTGACACACCCCCATAGGCGC